CTATAAGAACAGTTCTGCTGTTGTTTTGGTCTAACCAAGTTTCAGTTAAAAACATAAAATCCAGATTGTGCTTGGTGATAAAATCATTGATTACAAACGATTTACCTGCTAAAGACCTGACATTTAATAGAGCCAGTTTAAGTGTGTTTGATGTACTATCACTCTGATTGTTTGTGATAGACCGTGGAGTACGTGGAATCACTGTTACATTCGATACATTTAAACAGATGCTTTTGGATTTTCAGTTTTTAACCTGAGTCATCAACCTTCTGTGGATGTTGGTTATAACAGAAATGGGTCGCTGCACTGGTATAGAAGCCTCTGGTAGTTTGGTGGCGCCAGAGAGCGAGATGGCAGGTGTCAGCGGCATCAGTGAAGAAAAGTTGCGGGTAGAAAAGTTTCTAGTAGTCAGTGTTATTGTGCATGACCCTATCCAGTTCTGCTGTGGTACTGAATTGTCATGTCTGTTTTGCAGTGTAGACAGCATACAAAATGTTAGCAGCCAGAGCACGGCTACCCTGGGAATTAGGGTCCACTGGGGCGGGTAACCTCCTATGTCACGGTGTTCACAGATGCATCCGTGATAGGTTGGGGGGGACCTGCCTAGAGAGAGCTATAGGGAGTCGCTGGTCTCTGACAGAGACATGGCACAGCAACCTTCTAGAGCTGCGGGCAGTGGTGTTATTCCTCCTGCATTTCAAACCCTTAATACAGGGCAAACATGTGCTGGTGAGGAGCGACAACAGCACCACAGTGGCGTACATCAACAGGCAGGGCGGAGTCCGCTCCGCCACCTTATTGATCACAGCAGAGAACCTGTGGTTGTGGGCTTCAGAGATTGTGTTGTCTCTGAGAGCCCTCCACATCCCGGGACTGGAGAACAAGGGGGCCGACCTCATGTCAAGAGGTGGGCCCCTGCCAGGCGAGTGGGTGCTTCACCCGGAGGTGGTGAAGCAGATCTGGGCCCAGTTCGGGAGAGCGGAGGTGGACCTGTTTGCCAGCCGGCGCAACAGCCACTGTACCCTGTGGTTTTCCAGGGCTCTGCGGGACAATCGTTTGCACAAGAGCCATGGTCAAGAAATCTGCTCTACGCCTTTCCACCGGTACACCTCATTCTCCCTCTCCTGGAGAGGGTGAGAGGAGAGCGTCTGTCAGTCATCCTGGTGGCCCCAGATCGCTGATGATGGGCCAGCCCTGGGTGGTTCCTCAGTTCTGGGGGGCGATGTCTCAGGAGGCAGGTGCAATAGGGGCGTTACCCACTCTGGGCCAACCGCTCCAGGCTTGGCTCCTGAGAGGGACAGGCTGAGACAGGGGGGACTGGCTGACAAGGTTATTCAGACTATCCAGGCAGCAAGAGCAGGATCCACCACAGCCTGTTACAGGCCAAAGTGGTTGGGATTCCAGCGATGGTGTGAAGAGGGGAGTCTAGAGCCCCTGTCGTGTACGTTGGGCTTGCTCATTCCACAATTAAAGTGTATGCAGCAGCCACCTCGTCCTACCATGAGGGATTTGCCGCTTATGTCACGTTTTTACAGGGGGTCAGGAGACAGCGCCCAGTAGTGCATGTCTCCACCCCACAATGGGATCTACCATTGGTGCTCGAGGCTCTGGTCACAGAACCATTTGAGCCTCTGGAGCTCTCCTCCCTGAAAGCACTGTCATGGAAGACAGCGTTGCTACTTGCCTTAACGTCGGTCAAGAGAGTGTCCGAGCTGACTGCTCTGTCGGTGCACCCAAGTTGCTTGATGATCCGGGGTGACCGTAGCGGGGCGACACTCAGACCGAACCCCTCCTTTACTCGTTCAGGTCAAGGGCTATTCAGTTAGGGGGCTTTAGTCTTCCACCCCATAGTAGGGCGAGGGAAGCTACATTTCACCTCCTCTGCCCGATGCGTGTGCTGGCATGTTATGTGGAGCGCACGGCTGCCACTAGGCGCACTGAACAGCTGTTTGTGTGCTTTGGGGGCGGCATGGCCGGTAAAGCTCTATCCAAGAAACGCCAGGCGGGATGGCTCTGCGAGTGCATCTCACATGCCTACGGACAGAATCTACCTACGGGTGCAAATAAATAACCTGAACCTGAACCTGGACAGGTGGAGAGAGCCTTCCCCACGGGTACCGTGCACACTCTACACATGGTATGGCTGTATCAACAGACTTATTTAACTGAGTGAGTGTGGAGGACATATGTACGGCGGCATCTTGGTACACGCCACTTGGACATGTCTGGCTCCTTCTCGTCATCTGTGCTTGCTGGGGCAACACAGGACTGGTGAGGGGGGGGGGGGGGCGGCTGTGGGTCAGCAGGTATCTGACCCCCCCCCCCCTGGACATAACGCACTTGTATTTTCCCGTGCTCCGTGGGGACCCGGGAAACGTGGTGCGCAGTAAGCCCCATACAGGGCTGGGGTCAGCAGGTATCTGACCCCACCTGAGCATAATGCACTTATGTTTTTCCCCGTGCTCCTTGGGGACCCGGGAGGCATGGTGCGCAGTAAGCCGCATACGGCTGGGGGGTTCTCCCTGCCTGCCTATGGGCGGGCGGGGAGAGCCCTCCTCACTGTTTTCCAGGCACACTATTCACGAGGTAAGCGTGTCTGAGTGTGCCCCTCAATGAGAGAGTTTGTGGTCAGTAGAAGTAATATTTGACCTTTTGATTTTTTTGTTGGGCGTTAAAATATGTATTTATTGAAACACCACATAGTATATAGCCTAACGTATGTGAACATCCCTGTTTTTTGTTTAATAGCCAGACTACACTGAAAAGCTAGAGGGCTTTTAATTTAGAACGGATACAGGAAATGAAACATTTTTTATCAGGTCAGACAGGAGTATATCAGATAACAAGGAGGCTTAAAAGTACTGACATCTGACCAAATGTACTTGTTAAACACAGGGATTTAGTAATGGGTATATATATGTATTGATTTGTTAGATCTCACTCTGTTCCTTTTGTGACTGTGCACTCTGCAGGCAGAAGATGAAGATGTCATTCTGCGGTCCATTCAGGGGATTACAGTGGGACTTTATGTTGTCAAACACAATTCCACCATGAGACCAGAGGACAGATGAGACCAGAGGACAGAGGAGACCAGAGGACAGATGAGACCAGAGGACAGAGGAGACCAGAGGACAGAGGAGACCAGAGGACAGATGAGACCAGAGGACAGATGAGACCAGAGGACAGATGAGACCAGAGGACAGAGGAGACCAGAGGACAGATGAGACCAGAGGACAGAGGAGACCAGAGGACAGATGAGACCAGAGGACAGATGAGACCAGAGGACAGATGAGACCAGAGGACAGAGGAGACCAGATCAGACCAGAGGACAGATGAGACCAGAGGACAGATGAGACCAGAGGACAGATAAGACCAGAGGACAGAGGAGACCAGAGGACAGATGAGACCAGAGGACAGATTGTCCTGGAAGGCCAACAGGTACTAACTGATGAGGACAACATTGCATTAGCTGCTACCATGCTGTTTGGACTAATGTATGCAATGAACCTGAACTACCCCCCTAAACTGAAGTGCACGTTCGAAGTGATCCAGCAAATGTTAATGGAGCTAGACGGCAACATGCTCTCCAAGAAAGCCCAAGCGTTTAAAAACAAACCGTTTGAGTGAGCTGTTGCCATGGACCATTGTGCACTTTTACAGCATTCATACTGGACTTTCATCGATACAACTGTCTTGCACTTCCTTTGCTCATGCTTTTTGCTTGATTTGCATGTTTCAGAAATGTGTGTTTTTCTTGGGGTCATGTGTTTTCAGAATGTACCACTTGTCATGTGTTTCAGAATGTACTAATTGCGCTACTTCAAAATGTCAGTTCTTGTTTTTATTTGTAATACTTTCTTTAGTGCATATGTGGTGAGAAACCAGGCCATTTTTATACTTTCATGTATTTTTTCAAAGCAATGCCATTGCTTTTTTTGCATTAAAGTGCCCTTTCATATTAGCAGGTTACTATTTAAATAATGGATTTGCAAGAACATTTCCTTTTTTCGGCTAGGCGTTGACATTTTGTGTTAATTGTTTACTATGAATGAGTTACAAAAATAAGCCTTTCTTTGCCATTTGGCCCAATAAACCTTTATTTTGGTCGGGAGAATAGTTTCCTTTAAGCTTGCTTGCTGTGTTCTAACACAATAATGTATATGTACATGCATCACAAACATTTTCTATTTCTTCTATTTCTTTATTTTCAATGTATTTGTTAATTCTCCTGGCATAGTTTAGGCTGCATGATGGAGGAACCAAAAGCTCATCTGGATGTATGGTGGTTGTTCATATTGTTTTATTTTTTGAGAAAAATACATGAATGTTGTTCAAAGAAATTTGTTTGTCTTTATTGACTATTTGTTTTAAAATGTAAGAGATTAGGATGGATCCTGTAGAAGAATGTACGACATGCCTCTATTCACATGAAATAAATAATCGTATGTACCCCTTGAGCACTAGGTAGATTAAACAGAAAACTATAGCATGTAGTTTAAACAAAACATTCATGTGGCTTTAACAGGTACAAATGAAATATACTGAGTATATTAAAAGCCGTGTTGGTTTAAATATTAAAGGAAATATTCAAATGAACATAACAATTTCATGTTTATTTGACATAACATAGTTGTGTGTCTTTAACATAATGGAATAGTTTTGAGTACACGTGTTTTTCATGTGTGCAACCGGTTGCCATGTTAAAATCATGTTAATCCAACGGCCTTTTTTTTTCAGTGCATGACAAAAAAGGTTACGCTACATCGTTAGCCGCACTGTTTAAGTAAATAGGTTGTGATCGCTATCTTGTAAAGATGGCCGACTTGCTGTTGATGACATCACAATCCCATGCCCTGTTGCTCATCTATTGCTAATATTGACACATTATTTTTGTCTTTAAGGTTTTTTCCAAGAAGAAAAGTTCTCAATGGCATTTAACTACAAACCAGGTTGTAGGAGATAGTTTTGGCCCATGAATCCTCACAAAAATATTCACAAACCTTCCCTGTGGAACGGACCCCTTTCCAAACGCAGAAGTAGCAAACGACCCAGACAGCCAGGAGACACAGCAGCACCTCCCACTGCACTCCACCCAACTCCTCTATCCCCCCAGACATAGACAACACGCCTCTCCTGCAAGGGGACACAAGACAGTCAATGATAAGTGCAATAAATCACAATATACTTTAAACATGATCCATTGCTGCTGCTCTACGTAATTTATTATGAGCTTCACGGGACAACATTGACTCACTCCCAGAACTCAGAGACTGAAGACTTGGTGAGATTTCCAGATGTCCAGTTTACTGACTGGTTGCCTCTGTGTGTTTGAGTAGAGTTTAAGGAGGACAGGTCCACACATCTGTCTGTTAGTTGGAAAGCAAATCAAAATGTGGTTAAAGTGAAAATCTTTATATCAGATGTTAGTAAAATGGTCACTCATTTGGTTATTGTTTTTAGTCATGAAACACAGCAATGTGCCAACAAGGCAAGGTAGAAGGTTGGTACAGCACATTATACAGTATAACAAATTCAAATATTTAAAAATATATATGCTTTGAAAATCTTGTACAGTATGTGTGAGGAAATGCATTCTACACATCACCCACAGATGACCATGCAGAACCGGTCTTAACTCTGTCACCTTTGAATTACTCAACTATCCCCGCAAATATAAGCTATATATAATAATGAATTAAAATGTTAAACATTTATGCAGTGTAATATCAGAATCATTTGCGGTCTTTGTCTCCAGGACAATTGATGTGAAGAAGATATCAGTCAGTTAGCAAACAGATCAATACGTTTGCAAACCTTATTCAAAATAATTATTTGCATTTAGTTATTATATTGTCTAGCTCTCTGCTAACCATGTATTTCTCTTGGAAGATATTCATATTTTGACATTACATTTAATTTCACGGTACATCATAATTTATAAGCTAAATTAGCTTTTGTCTCTCTTTCTCAAAGGTTAGCAAATTGGTAGCTCTGGGTGAAAAGTTAACGTTTGCCAAAGTAGAACACGTTTTGATCAAGTTGCTTTTTCCACATTGTTTCATAGTTTGTTAAATGTATGTTATTGTGTGTCACTCATGTTTTGTGCATAATTTGTGGATATGAGTTATTTTAGAATTTGTCAGTTGACTTCCTCTACCTTTTTGTTCTCTGGTAAGTTTTCCGTGTGTTGAAAGTGATACAAAAATGTTTCATGTCATTGATTTCCATCATGTGACCAGGGTGATCATTTATAAAACATGAAATCAATCTGATTATTACCATAACATTTATGTAAAGGAGACCGTGTCTAAAAAGAGCTCTTGAAGAATAATATATTTGTCAATAAAGGAAAAGGTAGATGCTTTTGCACCCAGGTGTACATAGTCAACAATGCTATTTGCCCCGTGGCAAACATTAGATTTGGTTTTGAATGTATGTATAGATATGCAAATGTGTAACATTGGTTGCGATTGCTTGTTTAGGTAATCGGAACATCAGAGATCAGTGTTATTTTGGATTTTACAGACCAACCAACCTAACCTAATCTGGGATTGTAGATACTAGGCACCTATTAGTCAATCATTAATTAGGATGCTTCCGGCATACAATAAATGCAGTTGGTCGGGGTATGGGTGTGAAGATCCGAATAGCTGCTGTGTGACAAATCTTACCTGGGTGCAAATAGACTGTAGAACAACAGCTGACTGGCACTTCTAAAGAAGTAAGTACTTTAGGACCTTTTAACTCGCTGTACGTCCACCCATACTTCCCCTATACAGACCTGTGTTCCAGGGATTGTTGCAGGTGGCCCAGGGCAGAGGGTCTCTGAAGCAATAGATGAGGTAGAGGAGGGCCCAAGCCAGGATAATGGTGTAGACTCGGGAATAAAGTTGGATCACTATATAAGAATAGCCAGCACCTGGAGAGACAGAGAGATCATCCGAAATACCCTCGGTTTAAGCTGTAAAGAATATGTGTAAAGAAGCCGGATATAAATTAATCACGGCAGCGTTTAGCTGAGTTTCTGCTGGTAGACAGCCTTCTCTTCACATAGCTCACTGCTTGCATGTGGACGCTCCAAAGGGGCGTGGCCAGCAGCAGCTCGGTTACATTTAAAGGGCCAGACCCAGAATCAGCACTTTAGTAACAGGGCTGAAATAGAGTGGTATGAGGCATGCTACCATGGGTGATCTGTTTCGTATTTTGAGTAAAACACTTCAGAGACATATTTTGTATAGATATGTTCTTATAATATTGTTCAAATATAGCATAATAGGTGACCTAAACTCAGAAAACATCAGATTTAAAGGATACAAGCTTGTTAATGTATCTCCCCAAATACAGGCCAGGAAAAATAAACAAGGGTGGATAAACTGCAGCTGCCTTTGATATAATGGGCTTTCATAATAACCGTGATCTACATATCCATCATTTAAATTTGATGAATTGCCATTTTCACACGTTTTTCTCATTGATTTCTCGACCAAAGTGTTATTGTTCTAGGGCAGTGACTGTGAGTGTGTATGTATTATTGGCCTCATTCAATCATCAGAGCTGAGGCTTTGTATAAGTGCAACAGGAGTGCAATATTTACATTTTAAGTACTGTACAGGCCTAAATGAGGACCTAGATTTTAGACTTATTTTGTAAACAATCATTTCCGTGGCCCATTCCACAACACCATGCCCAAATGAAAGAGTCCTAATGGTAGAATACCACTATAAAATGGTCACATGTTCCATGACATTTGTCTTTCCTGAGAAAAATGTCAATGCCAAACAAAACAGAGATTGTGCTTCAAAGTTTTTTTGTTTTGTCTCAGAAGTCCACTGTGGCTGAAAACAAGGTTAACAGGAAAAGTCTGTACATTCATTAATATGTATTAATGTGTGAAGAGTCCATGCTGTATGACATATAAAATATGATATTTGGTTGAATAACAATGCTTTAGGCATGTAGAGTCTGTATTATATTATTATTCTTAGTTCACATACAGCTGTGGGGTCAATATTAACAAAACACAATGATTATGATTCCTGTTTCTTGTATTGGTAGGATGGGGTACGTTCACGAAGTATGGCTTCAGGGATTTTCATTTTAGAAAACTTGGTGTTTCCTGAAATACATTTTCAGTTCTAGCCAGTTTTAAATGACATAATCTCTAATTGTCTAGTTGCCAGCTCATCAGCTGAAAATGTCAGAAATGGATTCAGTATCGTATTGTCAACATAGGCTATTATGCCATTAAGGCTAATTAACCCATTTTATGCTAATTGTGCAAATTGCCCAACATGTGCAAGTTAATATCCGGCAGTTTGTGCTGGGGACCAGTACTATACATTTTTAAAATAAAACTTGTGGTTACCCTGTGCCAGGGGGCAGAGCTTGCTCCAGCAGGTCATGGCGCCCTCTTGTGTGTACTGACCAATCGCGGTCTCCATCAGGTAAAGCGGCACGCCACACAGCAGGGCAAAGAAACAATACGGCACCAGAAAGGCACCTGAACACACAGAATATTCACACCTGAGACTATGACATGGATGTTCAGTTTTGATGTTCCCCTACATTTAATAATAACCATGAGAAGGACAGATTCTGCATGAATAAAGTGATAATTAAATGTAGATGGACAACAAATATATGTTATGATGCGTTCACGCCGCAAGCGGCTGTCAGCTGTGTTTCCTCGCCTCATAGAGTGGCGAAGTCCCTCCCCTTCCGGTGGACCTCCATGGGACCTTATTTCAGAAAAATTATGTATTGAAGTCAATGGAGAGAGAAAGATTATCTTTTGATCGCGTTTGAATTGTGCAACGAATTACACATATGATGTTTGTCAATTTAAAAGATCATCTTGTAGTAAATAAAAATGTGTCGTAAAACTGTGAAGTAACACATTATTTTGTGTGTGAAGCGCTCAATGAACTACATCTCTGGTCTCGCATACGTCACCAACACCAAGATGGCCGTCACATTGGCACATTTCACCTCTTTCTTTCAGAATGAAGCGAAAAGTATTAAAAGAGGTGAAAATCACTACAAGTCTGGGCATGTTGAGAACTGTACATACACACAAGGGGAGTTAGTCTGTTCCAGCATGCAGGACCGGCTTTACAAGGTGTCAGTGAGTAACACGAGTGTAATGTGTAACGTTAATGTAATGTCTCTGGGATTTGTAGTCTTTCTAGTTGCGTATTTTTCATAGTCTTATATTTCAACAGTTTTAAGACAAACCGTGACTTTTTTGACATGGAAATGATTTTTTAAGATTGACAAACATCATATGTGTAATTTGTGGCATAATTCAAACGGGATCGAAAGATAATCTTTCTCTCCCCATTGACTTCAATACATCATTTTTCAGAAATAAGGTCCCATGGGGCGGAAGTAGATGGGCGTGACTTCGCCACTCTATTCAAACAGGACGCGCTGTTGAGGGGGTGGGGCTTATCTCCATGTAAATACTATGGTAGATTAACTACAACAAAATTAACATATTTGACCGTTATTTGATTGTTAATACACGTTTTAAAATGATGCCAAAATAACAACATACTGATACCAGTTTGTAAATACCATGAATGTGTTTACACAAGGCGGCAGGAGAAACCGTTTTAAATGTGTGTTTCCTGAATGGATATCTGTGGCCTGTACTATGAAGCAGGATTTGCGGTTAGCGAGGTAACCGCTGAAAAAGGTTGGGAACCACTGATTTAGAGGAACAAAGAGTTTCACCAGACGAGTAAAACCACACCAGCAGGAGAAAGCCCTGCAAAACCACATTCCCTGAAGGCATCCTCGACAGGTTCCTTGATCACAACTATTCATAGTGTTAAGCAGTAATGGAAAGTAAATAAGTACATGAAGTATTGTACTTTTTTGACATATTATGTACGTCCATTTAATGCTACTTTATACTTCTACTCCACTACATTTCAGAGGTGAATATCATACTTTTTACTCCACTACATTTACTTGAACACTCACAGTTACTAGTTACTTTGCACATATAATAATAACACATATATGCCCATATAGTATAATGCAGTACTGCATGCACTACTAAACTACACAGTATCTAAATCTGGTCCAAATTGAACGACTACAACACTGAAATGCTCTAGTGTAAAAACATGATACAATTAAAACCATCATCATATAATACTTTGAAAGATCCATTCTGCATAATGAGTACTTTTACTTTTGATACTTGAAGTACATTTATCTGATATTATGCATGTACTTTATATCATTATAAAATACACCATTATGCAGAATGAGTACTTCTTTGTACTTTAGGTAATTTGAATAACTTTTGAATTTCTATAAGTATATTTTTTAAATTAGGTCTTTTACTTCCAGATGAGTATTTTAAGACTATAGTATTTGTACTTTTATTTAAGTAAAGGATCTGAGTACTTCTTCTGGCATTGATGTTAAGTCATGCCAACAGGCTCTTCAGTTTCTTAGCTGTTTTACTTGTGCTTGGTAGATAGTCAGGTCTACAAAAAGAACACATACAGAAGCAGATTAATAATAATCGCTACTGAGTACAATAACTTCCATTATTTTAGCAGCCGTGTGGCTATAAAGTCAATATATATACTTTCAAATGTTATTTTTCATGTAACCTCAAAGTATTTAGATTATTTTCAGTTATTTTTACACACTCCTAATCATTACTAGAGATTAGGGATTTTCATGAAATCAATTACAATGTCACAGTTTATTGTATGTAAAGCTCACCTCCTCCGTTCTTATAGCATAGGTAGGGGAATCTCCACACATTGCCCAGGCCCACCACATTGCCTGCTGCTGCCAGAATATATTCCCTTTTCCTCGTCCACTGTTCCCTCTTTTCCACTTTGTTCTCCATTTGTGTTCCTCTTTCAGTCCTCTGCTCAGTCCTGCAGCACACAGCCCTGCACACAGCATACCGATTGTTATGACTGTTGCCTGAGGCCTTGGGAGTAGAGGGAGGAAGTGCTTATTATAATTACATGTAGAAGTATCATGTATTTAGTCTAAAGTTCCCTGAGGCACATTTGTAAACTATGATATTCTGCCACAAACATACAATGTGATTCATTGATTAATTAACCTTTCAAAAATGTTGGTGCTGTTTCAAATGTAAAGCGCCATTTCTTAGTGAAATTGTTTATTTATGAAATCAGAATTTCATAATTATAATAAACAAATAACAAACATTTATATTTATTATTGAGGATAAATATCTTCTGAGAAAATAACTAAATATATGTTTAGTTTCGATGTGCACTTCAATTAATTATAACGATAGTTTATATATTGAAAATAAGATTTTAACAAACAGTTACACTTTGAGTTGTCTCTTTTTAGATCCTCAAACAGGGAGTTGGTTGATGTCAAACTTGCTCACTCAGATACAGGAAAACATTCCTGCCAACAGCAATAACACTTTATCACACCTCTGGCTGGCAGATAACTCACTGCTACAAAGTTCTTGTTTTCTGATATCTGTATTGTTGAACAGCCTAAATTATTTTGAGCATTTTACATTTAGTATTCTTGTGGTTCATTTGTTCTTCTACTGTAGATATGTATATAGACTTGCTGCTGTTTATTGATTTTATTTTAATTGTATTGTGTTAATAGTTTCCACCTTTAAAGATTTAAAGATGTTACTGCCTGTACACACTGCTGCTACTGTAACTACATAATTTCCCAATATGGGATCAATAAAGTACCTACAGGGAGATGATGGCAACTGAAGAGCCACATATTCAAAAGTAACTTTCTATAGTTGTTAGCACCTTGCATTGGAGGGAATCAAAGGGCATCAAAACAGCAATACCAACTTCTTTCAAATTCCAACTCCCATTGAAATGAATGAGGAAAACGATGCAAATCTCACTAGTTAAAATCGCATTTCCGATATCAAGAATACACATTACAACTAGTTACAATTGCATTTCTGATATCAAGAATTTGTATTCTAACTAGTTAAAATTCAATTTTTTATATGAGAAATAAACATTATTACTAGTAAGAATTGCATTTTTGATATCAAGAATTTGCATTCTTATTAGTAAGAATGGATTTTTTGATATCCTCCAGAAATGAATAAAAGCTGAATCGGCTTGCCATACAGATGCACCCCAAGTCATAGTGTTCTGGAACTGGGCCTGGATGTTGTTATTTAATTTCTCCTACAGAAGAGAGACACAAATCACTTAAATATTTGTTATAGGTATGATGTATATATTTATATATCCTAAATGTTTCACGTTCTGTGGGTCTTATCCACACATGCATCAAAATCCTCAAATAAGAACTGTAAGTTATAATGTTATAATCAAAACATTAATATTGAATTTGTAAGTATATTTCACACACTTTCATGTTTTTATGGAGTATGATCTTCTCGTTCGTTTAAGAGATTTATATATTTTACTCTTATTGAAGCACTTTAATAATGTAATGACTCTGATCTTCCTTAAACAGTAAGAAAAGCTGCAGTAAGCAGACGGCTGTAGATCTGTGGGCGGAGCTTTGATGTGCGAGTAGTGAAAACACTTCTGTGTAGTCTACACTCATGTCTACACTCCCTCTTTTCTCCTCTGGAAGCCTCCTCCCTCCTCTCTCCTCGACTCCTCCATGTGCATTTCAGCGATTGGGACATCCTTCAACATGGCGTGTCTTGATCGATTTCCGGTTCAAGTCACCGAGGAGAGAGGAGTCGAGGAGTCGAGGAGGGAAATTGGGATGAACCTATTCTCTCTCTCTCACACACACACACTCATTCTCTCTCTCCCTCACACACACTCTCTCACACACATTCACTCTCCCTCTCCCTCTCACATACACACAATAATATCTTCTATCATATATACTGATCATTTAGTTGAGCTACCTCATACTTTCAACATATGTTTTACTTTTGTAACTCGATGTTTGTGACAAATATAACTCCTTGTGTACTTGTACAGCCAGCCAATCATATTTTGGCATTTTAAGTGGGGTGCTGCTCTGAGGTTTTGAGTGATATTACCTAGGTCTTCTTGAGCCATACACTGTCTTGAGATCTGATCCATTGTATCCTTGTCTTGTGATTTTTGACTGAAAGGGCAAAAGGCTAGGCCTACTTTGGTTGAACTATGTAGCTGCGTCCCTGCTTTTGACAAATAGGTGTGCAATTGACATGCCAGATTTAATGCAAATTAAAAACATTGGTCATGTTGGGTAGAGGTGTTGTTACGTTGGTACGTGAGTTGAGAGGCCCTGAGCTCTCAGTGCCCAGGGGCCCCTGGAAGTAGGCCTACTTATCCGGCCTTGGTGAGTTGGCACTCAAAACACACTTTTATGGGGTGTGGGCTGAACCTAACCTTGTTTCTGCTTCAACTTGCACATCGTCTGGCAGAGATAACGACATGCCAAAACTCAACAAACTGGATTTTCATATAATGTGTGAGAAAGAGCGGCAAACACTTTATGCCTGAAGAGAACAGACAGAGGGGGAAAATGGCAACTGGAAAATAAAAACAATGTTAAGGTATCATTAAATAATAATGTGAAGCTATAGAAGGTAAACATTGTTTTTAGTTTTGTTCTTTAAGAGATTAAAGAGGCCCTCTCCTGCTAATGTTCAGGTGTATATCAGTATGTAGTGTCTCTACTTTAAAGAGTCCTCTCCTGCTGATGTTCAGGTGTATATCAGTATGTGGTGTCTCTACTTTAAAGAGTCATCTCCTGCTGATGTTCAGGTGTATATCAGTATGTAGTGTCTCTACTTTAAAGAATCCTCTCCTGCTGATGTTCAGGTGTATATCAGTATGTAGTGTCTCTACTTTAAGAAGTGCCTCTCCTGCTGGTGTTCAGGTGTATACAGTATGTATTGTCTCTTACTTTAAAGAGTCCCTCCTGCTGATGTTCAGGTGTATATCAGTATGTAGGTCTCTACTTTAAAGAGTCCTCTCCTGCTAATGTTCAGGGTGTATAGCAGTATGAAGTGTCTCTACTTTAAAGAGTCCTCTCCTGCTAATGTTCAGGTGTATATCAGTATGAAGTGTCATCTACTTTAAAGAGTCCTCTCCTGCTGATGTTCAGGTGTATATCAGTATGTAGTGTCTCTCCTTTAAAGAGTCTCTCCTGCTGATGTTCAGGGTGTATATCAGTATTGTAGTGTCTCTACTTTAAAGAGTCCTCTCATGCTGATGTTCGAAGGTGTATATCAGTATGTATGGTCTCTACTTTTAAAGAGTCCTCTTCTGCTGATGTTCAGGTGTATATCAGTATGTAGTGTCCTCTACTTTAAAGAATCCTCTCGCTGCTAATGTTCAGTGTATAGCAGTATGAAGTGCTCTCTCTACTTTAAAGAGTCCTCTCCTGCTGATGTTCAGGTGTATATCAGTATGTCGCTGGTCTCTACTTTAAAGAGTTCCTCTCCTGCTTCAGTAGTGTAGTGTCTCTACTTTAAAGAGTCCTCTCATGCTGATCCGTTTCCAGGTGTGTATATCCGTATGTAGGTGTAGCTACTTTAAAGAGTCCCTCTCCTTGCTGATGTTCAGGTGTGTATATCAGATGTAGTGTCTCTACTTTAAAGAAGAGTCCTCACTCCTGCTATGTTCAGGTGGTATATCAGGCAGTATGTAGTGTCTCTACTTTAAAGAGTCCTCTCCTGCTGATGTTTCAGAGGGTGTATATCAGTATGTAGGTTCTCGACTTTAAAGAGTCCTCTCCTGCTATTGTTCAGGTGTATATCAGTATGTAGTGTCTCATACTTTGAAAGAGTCCTCTCCTGCAAAGTTCAGGTGTATATCAGTATGTAGTGTCTAAACTTTAAAGAGTC